ATCTCCTTTAACAACAGCAGCAAAAATGCACAAAAATACTGTAACGGACCATTTCAGCACACAAGGGGCTAAAACCGTGTAGGCGATCGTCCCCTTTCAAAGATGCAGGAACAGCTACTGTAGAACACCAAACTCACGAACCGCATGTAAGGGAATGCTCCAAAATCCCGAACAGCATACAATGTAACACTCCAAACTCACGAACTGGAACCATACGAATGACTGCTAGCAGACGAATAGGAAAAGCATCCAAGTGGCTTACACTCCTAGCAATCAGTCTCTATCAGCATTCAGTAAATCCCCCCAAAGATGAGACAAGGCTACGTGTTGAGGGTCAAGCAGCGGTCTGTTTAATGAGGGCTACCTGCCCAGTATTTATGCAGGTCTCCCACCTGGTGGACACTCCCATAGGGGACCAAATGGGAGACTGTGACAAGGGACAGACAAGTAGCTAAATAGGACACACAGTCACATTGTATTCCCACAATGCATCCTGGCTTCCTCCCCTCTGCCCTGGAGATAATTGAGAAGTAATTCAATTATCTCCCAGGACAAAGGCAAATCGCCATTATGCACGTGGGGATACTAACACAAGAATTATTATTAAAATACACTATGTAAGACATGTTACATTAAAACGTCCCCAGATAGCTCAGGTTTGAGCGCACATTATTAAGCGAATGGCGCTCAGACCACACGAATACAGTTCAATCGCCATAGAGCCAAAGTCTTTACAAAGTTAGTTCTCATACGAATGAGCTCCATGGGATTCCTATCAGGGGTATAATACAGTCAGGTAAAACTACCAAACACTGGGCAGAAAAGCACGAATAAGTCTTTTCTGCAGGGAAAAATATGTCTTTTAACATGGGGCCATAGTCCAAAGGCAACAGGCGAGCAACCAGGCTTCTCCAATGCAACGTGGCGAGTTTGCTCTCGTCACATCTCTCCCCTTTTCCAAACAGACTAACAGGGTATCTGACCTCCTGCCAGTCAGTGCCCTTGTTAGTCCAGCAGCCCACCCACAAAACACAATCAACAGCACAGCCCCCCACAATAAATGGTTACTACACCTGGGTAGAGGAGAAGCTTGTCCATGTCCAGGTGCCTCACCATGGCTGTGCTGGGTATGGGTACGCTGACTTGGTGGGTTGCTGAGTGGGCAGAGACCAGCGGTACTCTGCCCTGGTGCCAGCGCTACTGGGGCGGTAGCCTGGTTGAAGCCTGGTTGTTGGAGGGGGAGACCAACTGTCTCCCCTTTAGATACACAGCCCTGCTGCTGGAGACCGACTGTCTCCCCTTTGGCTACACAGCCCTGTGGCTGGGAGGCAGAACCGACAGTCCCTACCCCCTGTGCTGGACGTGCAGAGACCACGGTCCCATCTGCACAGTTGTGGGGCTTACAGTCTCCCCTCCCACTGGAGTGGGAGGAGTTTGCCATTACTGCTGGAGAGGGAGCTGCTCTGTGCTTCATCTGTGTGTTCCCAGGACCACACCCGTTTGTGGCTGCTTTGGAGCTCGATTTCTGGGCTTTGGAATTACTACAGCAAGGGGCTCTGCCTGGGCCTAGGCAAGCATGGCCCTCGGGCCTTCCTCCCCAGCCTGGGGATGGAAGGTCAGGCTGGACGAGCTGCAGGCAGTGCTGGCTTTTGGGGAAGGTAAGGCGGATACCAGGGGCCTGTCTTGGACTGAGCATCAGGCCCTCTCCCGGCAAATACGAAACCAGGTCTCCCTGTTGGAGGAACTGGCGGGGGGGATGTCTAGGAAGCTTACAGCATGGAAAAGGGAAGTGGGGGTCCCCCAGGGAGCTACGGCCCACACCAGGGCCGATATCCAGCTGCTCTCTGGGCTGCTGGCTGAGTGCCGTGAACTTGCCAGCAGTGGCCTCCACTTCCTAGAACAGCCCCCCCCGTCCCTGGAGGTGGGAGAGGGTACCGAGGAGGAGGTAGTCCCTGAGACCCCCCCTGAGGTGGCTAGTGCCAGCAAGGCCCCTCAGGCCTCCCTCACCTATGCTGAGGCTGCAAAGGGTGAGGGGGTTGAGGCTAGGGTCTTTATGGGGCTACCTTCTGACAGGCTCCGGGGTCTGCTTGTGTCCCTGAAGGCCCAGCATGCCGAGGCAGACTCGGGCCTAGCTGGGGTCCAGGCAGAGCTAAGGGAGCAGAGGGAAAAATCAAACAGGACCTCTAATTACAAAAGAGGTCCTTTGAGGGCCGCTATAGCTGAGAAAAAATGAGTGGAGCAGCATCTAGCCTACACCCTGCTCCAGACTGAAAAGAAAATAGCAGACATCCAGGCCATCCTGCAACAGAGAGCCAAGGACGCTGCGAGGTCCAGGAGGCAGAGGGCTATGGAGGGCAGGAGGGACATGTCCCCAGGTGAGGAGTCCAGCAAGGACTTGGATTCCAACTCCCATCACTCACCTGGGGAGCCGTCTACCTCTGCCCTTGCTACTCCAGGGGGCGCTGCTGAGACGGAGGGGAAGGGCCAGAGAGAAGGACAGTGAAGAGGAGTGGGACGGAGAGAAAGGTGAAGAGTGGCAGCTGAAAGTGCAGGACAGAGGTCGAGGGCTGATTAAGGAGTCTCTCCTCAAGTTTGGAAACAAACTTGGGGAGGACTCCGTAAAGGACAAAAAGAAGAAAAAGAAGAAAAAGAAAAACATCGCCCGGCGTCAGCCTGAGACCTCTGTCAGGGGGTCTGGAGATTCCACAGAGGAGGGTGAGTGCTCAAATGCTGAGTATATGTACAATGATGATGTTCAGGCCTTGCAGAAGCCTGGGGCCAGGGATACTAACCCTGCAGGTGGCAACACCTGTATGCCCCAGAAACCTGCACAACCTGCCTCTGTGGAAGTATCTGGGCCCCCCGCCGCCCTCCATGGTGACAGGGAGACCATCCCCGCCGGTACTATGGCGTGTACCGGTGATCCCATGGAGGGGTCCTTCCCTTGCTCCCTTCCCACTCCCTCCCTTACCTGCCTTCCCTCTGACCTTCCTCTCCGTGTGGTTGCGTCCCCTGGAGTGGCTGGTACCTCTGCCTCCTGTCCTCAGGCGGCTGCTGGGCAGGATGGCACTGGATGGAGCAGTCTGGAGCAGGGTGATGGCCCTCCTTTTCCCTCTGCTCCCTTGGAGCAAGCTCGACTGCTCTCCCCTACCAGCAAATCTCCTCCCCTGTTTGTCCCCCAGTCTGTTTCCCTGGATGTGTCCAAGTTTGTCTTCCAGTCTGTTCCCCCTGCTTCCCTATGTGTTCCCCTTATGTCTGCATGTGTAACCAGTCCCCCTGTTGTTCCTGTTGTTCCTGTTGTTCCTGGTGGCGCGGGTGCCGCTGGCGCTATGGAAGACAGGACTGCAGGGGACTCCCATCATCCTCAGCCAGCAGTCCATACTGAGGAAACCGCCAATGGAGGTAAGAAAAGTATGACTAACATTGTGTTTGACTCCACTGGTGGTTTAGGGATGGCTGAGGAGGATGGGAGTATGGATGTAACTGTAAATGTAATGATGGGACCTATTGGCCTTAGTAAAAAGGTCCACAGCCAGCCTGTTTGTATTAATGATGTTGCCCCTGCCCCTGGTGTTGTTGCCCCTGCCCCTGGTGTTGTTGCCCCTGCCCCTGGTGTTGTTGCCCCTGCCCCTGGTGTTGTTGCCCCTGCCCCTGGTGTTGTTGCCCCTGCCCCTGGTGTTGTTGCCCCTGCCTCTGGTTATGTTGCCCCCACCCCCGGTACTATTGCCCCTGCCCCTGGTACTGTTTCCCCTGCCCCTGGTTATGTTGCCCCCGCCTCATGTTGCCCCTGCCCCTGGTTCACTGGAGTTAGTTGGTACACAGGTGGCGGGCACGAGCACGGGCACAGGCACCCTGACAAAGGGTGCCGCGGTTATAAATAGTTTAGACGCACAAGCAGGTACACGGGTTCCCCTTAGGCACTCCCAGGTTGTCACCCAGGGTTCTGGTGTGACCGAGGCCTCTGGTTCAGCGAGGGGAGTCCGTCCGAATCATTCCCAGACGGCGGGTCCCGGTGCGCCCAATGCTTGGGCATCTGGGCCACCTCGCCTCTCTGCGGACGGGCCTGCTACGCGTCCTCAGGTTTCCTTTGGGAACAGGAGGAACGTGGTACGGCTCATCTGTGGGGGTGAGACCCAGGTGCCTGACAGACGGTGGCTGGTGACCCGGCTAAAGGATATGGGATTTGCGCCCGTGGACCTGTACGCGCTCATCCATGCCTCGGGCACCCGGGAGTTCGACGTCTCCTTTATGACGTCGCAGCTCCTGGATCGCTTCTGGGCTGGGTGGGAAGCGGCCAGGTCTGCACAGGGTACAAAGTGGGCAGGATTCACCGCTGTGGCCATTTCTCGCCAGGGTCTTAAGAAGGTCACTTTCCTGGTGAGAAATGAATCCATCCCCATAGCAGACATCCTTGTTTGGACTAAGAGGTTTGGGGATGTTAAATCCCCCCCTTTAAGATCTTAGATGAGGATGGGATTTGGACAGGCGGATGGACTGTTTCAGTGTTGCTGCGGGAGATTCGAGGTGTCACACAGCATATGCCTAATAGTTTTTTCATCGGGGCTGACCGGGTATCCTGTTTTTACCCTGGTCAGCCCAGGGTATGTCACAAGTGCGGATCGTACAGGCACTACAGCAATGCCTGTACGGTCCTCAAATGCACTATGTGCGGCGCTGTGGGGCACCTCCGGGACAGCTGCAGGGAGACCGGTGTCATCTGTGTTCAGAGATGGGTCACACGTACCGCACCTGCCCCGAAGCCCAGCACAATGTAGAGTCCATCTGGAGTCAGGAGCCGGTGGAGATGGACTCTGCTGGGTTAGGGGTTCAGGTAGCATCGTCATCTACAAGGCCCATCTCTGGCACAAGGGGTTTCCCTGCCCCAGCAACAACCCATCCTCCCCTCGGTCTCTGTAACATCTCAGGACCCTGGGAAGGCCACAAGTTCACGTCCCCTCACGAAAAGTGTACGTAGAGAACGCACTACCTCCACAGCCATTATGGCTCCCCCTAGACCCCCTCCCCCTAGGCCCCCCCCTCCTAAATTCTCCACGGTGAAGGTTACCCCCACTGAAAAGTCCCCAGATGCACGTCCCTTAGATGCACAGTCCCTAGAGTGGAGCACGGTGAAAGGTAAGAAACCCCCCCCCTCCAAGACCTCGACGCTGCCCTCACCCCGGAAGATCGCCATACCCCCTGCGGCGAAACCCCCGAAAGGGGGAGACGCCACTTATAAGGGTGGTGTGGCACGGGCGTCATCCTCCTCTTCAGGCTTGCAGGAGGCCCCGGTGCCCGTATCTAACAGGTACGAGGCACTGTCCTCCAGCTGGGCCGACTGTGAGTACGAGGAGGAGATGGCAAACCTCCCCGAGGTGGTGGCAGGGGTTGAGGTGGGACAGGAGGTGCTTCTGAGAGACGACGGGCCACTGTATCCCGGAGTCTCAGTGAAGAGGTTCCTCGGTTCCGACACGGAGGAGGGGTACCGCAGAAGGAAGGGAAAGTCTCCTTATACTTAATGCCCTTATGGCGACTTTTCCTGTACTCTCTGTGGCTACGGTGAATGTAAACAGCATTAAGTCCAGCAGGGCCCACTTTTTGGTTTACGACCACCTCAGCCGGGCTCCGTACAATGTCATCTTGGTACAGGAGACCCGGCTGGAAACCCTCGCGGCCCTGCACGCTGCAAAGCGGGACTGGAGATGGGGGCCCTCCTACTTCTCTCTAGCCACAGAGAGATATGGGGGAATCGCCATCCTATTTAAGGACGTTGATGTTAGCATCAACAGGGTTATTGAGTTGCAAAAAGGACGGTGTGTGGTTTTAGATGTCTCAATGGGCAGGCAACCTTTCAGGATAATTAATATCTATGGCCCCCAATCTAAGTGGGAGAGGAAGCGCCTGTTTATTGAGATAGAGCCTTACCTTTATACATCCCAGCAAATCCTGTTTGGCGGTGACTTTAACACCATAACTAGGCCTCAAGACAGGAGAGACGCCACTCAGAGGCTGGGGTATGACTCCTATTTTTTAAATAAGATGGTTAGTCAGGCTGGATTGGTCGATGTGTACCTTCATCACACTCCCAATCCCACGGGTGGGTACACTTATCACAGAGGTAGCTGTCAGAGTAGGATAGATAGGTTTTTCTTTAAGGAGAATTTCCCGGTGGCGGCACCCGTGCTTACACCGGTGGAGTTCTCCGACCATCACATTTTGTCTTGCGAGTTGAACGTCTATAGTACCCCACCTAAGGGTAGAGGGATCTGGCGGCTAAATTCAGACCTCCTGGTGGAACAGAGGGTTCAGCAAGCCTTCATGGAATTCTTTCACGATCAGATGACATTGGCCAACTTAGGCCAAACGAAGTCTGAGTGGTGGGAGATGGTGAAGGCCAGAACTCAACGGCTGTTTCACAATCTCGCCCGGAACATGCAGTCCTCCAGGTACAAGATGTATCTGGGCTTGTTTGGGAGGTTAGATATCCTGATCTCGCAGGGAGGTGACCCCGAGGACATTGCGGCAGTTAAAAACCTGATGAGGAGTTATCAGTATGACAGGTACGCCTCCCTTGTAAAAGAGAGGGATCATGGGTCATACCGCTCGCCCGATCCTTATCTTAGCTGCAAGCGGAAGGAAGGTACCAAGTCCATCCCTAGTCTGCAGGGCACCGACGGGACCCTAGAGGAGTCTCCTCGCGGGATTCTGAAGGTGGTCCGCGACTACTATATTGAGCTCCTCGGAAAGGGCAGCCCCCAATGTAGAAGGGTGAAGGGTGGATGACTTCTTGAGCGAGCTCACGCTCCCTGAGCATAGCGACCTCTCTTTTGACGAGTTGGTCAGCGAGATCACCATAGAAGAGGTCACAGAGAGTATCCAACAGCAGAACAAGTGTAAGTCGCCAGGTCCTGATGGTCTGACGGCCGAGTTTTACCAACAGTTCTGCGACCTCTTGGCCCCTCATCTGACCGAGGTGTTTAATGAGAGCTTGGCTCAAGGATTATTGCCACCCTCGATGAGGACTTCTGCCCTGATCTTGCTGTCCAAGCCGAACGTGCTCGACACAGCGGATGTGGGGAACTGGCGCCCCATATCCCTGTTAAATGTCGACAGGAAGGTCCTGGCAAAGATTTTGATGAAACGAGTACAGGGCCTAGCGAGGCGTGTCCTATCCACCTCCCAGTACTGTTCAATCGAGGGCAGAACTGTCTTTGATGCCGTTTTCGAAGTCAGGGAAGCCCTCGAGAAGTGCAGGGACGGAGAAAGGGGGATATACCTTCTGGCACTTGATCAGTCCAAAGCTTTTGATCGAGTAGATCACCGTTATCTGTGGTCAGTCTTGCAGAAGTATGGCTTGCCGGGAAAATTCGTCAATTGGATAATCACCTTGTACAGAGGGGCCGAAAGCTTCGCTCTTGTGAACGGGTGGAGGGGCAGGACGTTTAGGATCCGATCCGGGGTCAGGCAAGGCTGTCCTCTCAGCCCACTCTTGTACGTGTTTGCAGTCGATCCCTTCATCCGAAGGGTCGAGGCAGGCACGTTACAGGGAGTGGCCAGGGCTCCGGAGAGGCCTTTACGGGTTGTTGCCTACGCTGATGACATCTCCATAGTGGTCTCCAATACTCGGGAGGCCACGGAGGTGGATGATTTAATCCTAGCGTATTCTGCCGCTTCAGCCTCTCATGTCAACAGGGACAAGAGCGTAGTTTTCTGGTGCGGGAAGGAGGGGGACCAGTTCCCTCTTCCAGACGGTTTCCCGAGGGCCCAGCCTGAAATTAAGATCTTGGGGGTGGTGTTCGGACCAGGGGATCTGGCTCTCAGGAACTGGACCGAACGGCTTGCCATAGCTTCTAGCAAGGTGGAGGAGAGCCACAGGTGGAAACTGACGTTCAGAGAACGGGTGAACCTAATCAAAACCTATGTTCTGACCGTATTCGGCTACGTCAGTAACATCTTCCTTTTGCCCAGGTCCCTCCACGCTCGGATGTTTGCGCTGTTCTTCCGCATGTTGTGGGGGAACAGGCTGAACCTCATCAAAAGAGAGGTCACTTACCTGGCCAGAAAGGACGGGGGTCTGGCCATGGTCAACCCCATTTTTAACTAACAACTTCCTGAAAAGGAACTTTGGGGCTCTCCTGAAGGATGAGCAGCCTGGCTGGGTATGTATATTCAGGGAGTGGGTCACACCTTTCCTGGTGGACTGGTTTCAGGGTGGGAGGGTGAAGAGCATGAGAGTTCGGCATTCTAGCTATCTTCCGTCTTCGGTCATCGAGGGAGTGGGAATTCTGCGCAGGTGGAACGTCACGGTGGAGGAGGTTCGGGACACTCCCAAGAAGCTTCTCGACGGGAGGGTCCTGGCCACCCACTTTGGCATTCAGCTTGCTTTGAAGGACTGCCCGCCAAGTACTCTCGCCTCGGGGTTGAAAAACATCAACTCCAGGCGCCTTCCGGAGAAATACCGAGACGTGGCGTTTCTCTCCTTCCACGGTAGACTTTACGTTCGAGGGAACTTGAAGTACAGGAACATAACGGATCGTGGTTGTCCTCGGGTGGAATGTTCCGGGGAAGTGGAGTCCATGGACCACTTCCTCCTCGAGTGCCCCTTTAACGTACAGGTCTACAAAGAGGTCTCAGCCGCCTTAGGCATCCCCTGCTTATCCCGCTGGACTTATGCGGAGTGGGCGTACGGGACGTCCAACTCAAGGGGGAGGGCTTTTGATTTGGGCACTCTTTATGTAGTCAGTTCAGTGGTTAAGTATTTCACTTGGATGGCAAGGTGTCAGGTTTCCCTTCAACGTAAAGACCTTTCCTGTCAGGTGGTGGTAGCAGACATTCTGAGGGCGGTTCGTGGGATCTATACCACCGAAAGGGCCTCTATGGATCCCACCATTTGGCAGCGTTTGTGGCGAAATCTCAAGGTCCACCCGCCTTGAACCGCTCCATGGGCGCCCTTGTCTTGGTGAAGGGAATTCCAAATCTGTCTTCACCTTTCCCCCGTAGATTTTGAACTGGTTTTTCTTTTCATGGAAGGCTGCCACCTTTAGCAGACGAGTACCTTCCTCTGCGTCTAGGTAGTGCAGTGTAGTTAGGTTATGGTTATGGTTATGCACAGGTTATTTTTGGTATTGTTTGGGTTAGGGTGGGTTTCTGGTGTATGGACAAATTGAAAAATTTACTTTGGGTGGGGAAAAAAAAAACAAAAAACACTGGGTTTCTTTATGGACGGAGGGATGGACTCCTTGAGGGTGGTGTACAAACTGGATTTCATGTGGGTGGTGGGTCTATGGACAAAATTTTGATTTCATGTGGGTGGTGGGTTTGGATGTGATGAACTGAGAAAAGGACTCCATTTGGGTGGTGGGTTTGGGGGATGGACGGAGGGATAGACTCCATGAGGGTGGTGGGTTTTATGAATTGAAAATGGACTCCATTTGGGTGGTGGGTTTGGGTTTAAAGTTTGGGTTTAAAGTGTAGGTGGTGGGTTGGTGTTGATGGACGGAGGGATGGACTCCATGTGGTTGGTGGGTTTTATGAACTGAGAAAAGGACTCCATGTGGGTAATGGGTTTGTTTATGTTTATGTGTGTATTTTATTTCACGCTTGGTTTATGTTTGTGTTTAGCTGGCTGTGGACTCGAGGTCAATTGGGTCCCCCCTTGTCCCCCCCTTGTTATGTAAGAGCTCCTTCAGGAGCATTTCAGCCTTTTTTCTCCCTCCCCAAGGCTCCATGAAGTAATGGAGCCCCCCGCCTTTTAATTTATCCCCTTATGATTTAGTTCCCCCCCCTTTTCTGTTAATCCCTCTCCCTGTTATTCCCAGTTATTTAATTTGGTATAAGTTTACTCCCCTATTAGTGCCCCTTCCTGAGTTTTTATTTCGGTATTTATGTTTAATTTTGGGGTATTTATGTTTCATTTGGTATTATGTTTGAATTGGGCATTATTTCAGTTGATTGTTTATTATTGTTATTTTGTTATTTATTTTGTTATTCTGTTTAATTTTGTATTTTGTTATTTATTTTGTTATTCTGTTTAATTTTGGAAGCATTTTACAAACTAAATAAAATAAAATACTGTCTCCCCCTGGTACATTAAGCTGCCGCTGGGGAGAGGAGGTAACAAGCTCCTCTCCCATATATACTTCCAGCCACGGGGGAGGGAGACCGACTGTCTCTGCTCCCAATACAGAGTCCTGCTGCTGGGGAAAAGAGACTGGGCTCTCTATTCCCGGTAGGACACTCTGCCGCTGGGGAATGGAGACTGGGCTCCCAATTCCCAATAAATCATGCTGCCGCTAGGGAATGGAGGCTGGGCTCCCAATTCCCTGTTTTATCTCCCGCTGGGGAATGGAGACTGGGCTCCCAATTCCCAATAATCCGTACTGCCGCTGGGGAATGGAGACTGGGCTCCCAATTCCCAAAAAATCATACTGCCTCTGGGGATCTGAGCCGACTGCCCAGCATCCCTGTAGCTCACCCTGCCACTGGGGAGGGAGAACGCTGCTCTCCTCTCCCTGCAAGGTACACTGCTGCTGGGGGACAGGACCCCTGTTACTCAGCCTGCCGCTGGGGAATGGAGCTTGGGCCCCCAATTCCCTGCAATATCTCCTGCTGGGGAATGGAGCTTGGGCTCCCAATTCCCTGCAATATCTCCCGCTGGGGAATGGAGCTCGTGCTCCCAATTCCCTGCAATATCTCCCGCTGGGGAATGGAGCTCGTGCTCCCAATTCCCTGCAATATCTCCCGCTGGTGGAGAGACCTTGGTCCCATCTCCACCCGCCACCTGGGATTCTTCCCAGTAATCCTCTACCCAGCTGAATGGGTCTGGATCTGGGTCTCCGCTTCCCTGCTGAGCCTTCTCACTGGAGTGGAACAGATATTGGTAGCCCTGCTCCAGCATCCCTGTAGCTCACCCTGCCACTGGGGAGGGAGAACGCTGCTCCATCTCTCGGGTCACCAGGTGGACCAGGTCTTGCTCAATTTTGTGAGTGTCGTCCCAGTCATACCTGCTCTCCCTCCACTTCAAGAAATCACTGAACCGGGCTTGTATAGGGCTCCCAAACTCAGGCTTTGCAAAAGCCTCCCATAACAAGCCAGGGCCATCAAACTCCTCTCCCTCTGGCTTGTCATGCTCGGCTCTCCAGGGCAGGTACTGTGCCCCATACCACCAGAGCGCCTGGTAGGCATCTTCCAGCCAAATCTCCTGCCATACTCGGAGCTCCAATTCCTTCACCCATTCATCCAGGGGCTGCTCTCCCAGAAAGGGCATCCGCAGGGCTACTCGCTTCTGCAGTCGCTGGTCTTCCTTGGGGAGTCTCTCGCCCCGCTGGTACTCCACAATACCCAGTGCCTGGTACCAGATGCCTTTGCGCAGCACATCTCGGTCATCCAGGGCACCCTCATCATACTCCACTGCTGGTTTCATCTTGGTGCTGTCAGGGTCGCTGTACTGCGACATGCGTTGCCCTCAAATTGTAAAAATCCACGGAATGGTGTCGCCTGTAGCTGTCCTTTTGTCTGTGGGAACGATCCCGCTGCTTGCCAACAATTGTAACGGACCGTTTTGCACACAAGGGGTAAAAACCGTTTAGGCGATCATCCCCCATTCCAGAGATGCAGGCACAGCTATTGTAGAACACCAAACTCTCGAACTGCAAATAAGGGAATGCTCCAAACTCCCGAACGGTATCCAATATAGCACTCCAAACACATGAACTGGAACCATACGAATCGCTGCTAGCAGACGAATAGGAAAAGCATCCAGTCAGAGAGTCGAACGGTGCTTCAATCGGTAGAAACCTGTAAGTGTAGAATATCCCACTAGCTATAGTAAAGCTAGGATTCCCGGATCCTAGTGATGTACCGAACGGTTCGCTGGCGAACGGTTCCTGGCGAACATAGCATGTTCGCGTTCGCCACGGCGGGCGAACATATGCGCGGTTCGACCCGCCCCCTATTCGTCATCATTGAGTAAACTTTGACCCTGTACCTCACAGTCAGCAGACACATTCCAGCCAATTAGCAGCACACCCTCCCTAGCAGACCCTCCCACCTACTGGAAGCATCCATTTTAGA